CGGGAAAGCGCGCGGACAGTCTGGACACGACTCTATTACGACTTCCGGTGTTAGCGTTGCCGTTTTCCCCAACAAGTTCAGGACGTCAGTACAAAGTTCATATGCCACGTCATATACCGGAAATGGTCCAATCAGAGCACGCAAAAAAGTATTTGTGACCTGTGTGATATATACTAATTATCTAAATACAAATACAAATGTGTATAAATAAGCAAAAAAGGAACGAAGACGAACAGCGTTTGGGAGGACAGTTCATGTTACGTTATTGACGTTTGTACGTTTGATAATTCCACCAAACATCGATAGATTTTTAGACCTTTTTTTCAAATCTGTTGAAAATTGTAGTCGCCTATAAAATTTTTCATTCGCCACGGCGACCAAAACGGTCGCAGCTTGGAGCGCTAAAACTATTGAACGCCTATGACCGTTTTAAATTTAGAATCTGTCCATCCCCTTGCCTATTTAACTTAAATACTAATCCATCTGTTAACTGCAACTAACCTCCTATATACATCCAGAATAATGTCCATGGGTTGATCTATGTTATGAATCATGAGAGCCATCCGACGAGAACCGTCCAGTTTAGAAACTTCCAACATACTTTTTCCTGCACTGGTCCAATAAAGATTTCTTCCAACACTGTCCACTGCTAGTCCGTACGTGGTGGTCAAGTTCTCGTCAATTATGGTCTCATGGGAAGAACCATTAAGAAATGCGCGGGAGATCTTTCCATCTTGTGTCCAATACAGTCTGTCTTCTACTTGATCATAGTCCAGCGCGAAAGGACTAGAGATGTTTGAAAATGGCAATGGATCACGTGATCCAGAGTCGTGCGGAGAAACCCTCATTATCTTGTTATATGAATAATCTGCATAAAGCAGGATCTCTCTTTGAGCTGAAGGAAAACATTTATACTTATTACAATGTTTGCACACTGCGATAAGGAAGTCTACTTTTAAGATCACTGATGCAAAGGCCTTTCTTTTTCTGGAAGGAGTCACCGCCTTTCCAAAAACAATAATAGGCAGTGGCTACTAGTAATTTAAAGGATTGAATGGAAACACATACAAAATGTAAAACCTGCTTCATAGTAGTATCCTGTGTCACTTGAGAAAAAATGATTCAATTTTGAACATGCAAGATGGCTGATGTACTGGGACGTTACTAAAGAATGGCTGATTTACTGGGACGTTACTAAATGCAGGAATGAGGAATGGAGAATGAGGAGTGGGGAGCGGGGAGCGGGGAGCGGGGAGTGGGAAATGGTGAATGGGAAATGAAGAACGGGGAATGGAGAACGGGGAATGGAGAACGGGGAATGGGGAATGGGGAATGGGGAATGGGGAATGGGGAATGGGGAATGGGGAATGGGGAATGGGGAATGGGGAATGGGGAATGGAGAATGGGGAATGGGGAATGGGAAATGGGAAATGGGAAATGGGAAATGGGAAATGGAAAATGGAAAATGGAAAATGGGAAAATGAGAATGGGGAATGGGGAATGGGGAATGGGAAATGGGAAAAGGAGAATGGGGAACGGGGAATGGGGAATGGGAAATGGAAAATATGGAATGGGAAATGGAGAATGGGAAATGGAAAATGAAGAATGGGGAATGGGGAATGGGGAATGGGAAATGAAAAACGTGGAAAGAGAAATGGAAAATAGGGAATGGGGAATAGGGAATAGGGAATGGGGAATGGGGAATGGGGAATGAGGAATGAGGAATGAGGAATTAGGAATGGGAAATGGTGAATGAGGAATGTGGAATGAGGAATGGGGAATAGGGAATGGGGAATGAGGAATGAGGAATGGAAATGAGGAATGAGGAATGAGGAATGGGGAATGGGAATTGGGAAATGAGAATTGGGAAATGAGAAATGAGAAGTGGCAAATGGGGAACGACAAAACGATTCCTCTTCTTATTTTAAATTTAAAACGGAGACTTATCGTAGTGGACGCAGGCTTCAAAAATTGAGGAATATCACTTGGGTAATATCCTCCACATATTCCTGAGTTTTAGCCGGGGCATATTCGGTCACATCATGCCTTTAAACCAGTTGTTCACGGGAAAAAACATTATTATTCCCTCGTGAAAACTTGATTGACAAAATCAAAACAATTATTTTCGTTACTCGCTCAACAAAATAAGTCTAGGTAACTTCTTTCCTTCTCATCAATTTATTCCGTTCTTTGAACTTTGCCTCTGAACGTTTTTGAAAGAGAACGTGGATATCGATAATTACCGCTGAAAAATATGTTTCGTATAATAAAAATTAAATCTAAAAAACAATGGAAAATTAATTCTTTTTAACTAACCCGTTACCAGTCTACGGGAAAAGTTGTGTCATAAACACTAAGAGATAAATAGTGCTTGTTGAGAAAGAGAAATTAAAATATTTCCAGGAAACGCCACTCTGTTTTAGTTAAACTCAGGTATGTAATGGATGGTTGTGATATATTACCTTTACAACCTTTTCTGTCATCTTGAAGATAAAACCCCGCAGAACACAAACATTTTTTACCACTGGTTGAGGCTAAGCAGAAGTGACTGCATCCACCATTTTGGTTGATGTACTGATCCGTTACTATAAAATAACATACTTAGGTTAGTACAACTTCATTTTGTCTAAATTTTGTACACAAGTTGCCAAGAATTAAAATGGAAACAGAACAAGAATGAATTGCAAGGGCCAATACAATAACTAATAATAATAATAATAATAATAATAATAATAATAATAATAACAATAATGATAATGATAATGGTAATGGTAACGATAATGATAATGATAATGATAATGACAATAAATGGGAACTGAAAGCAAATATGCAACCGTGAACGGCTGCTTTTTACTGGTTGGATCTCTGGTGTTGCACTAAGAGAGAGTAGAGCGACTAGCACGAAAGCAACCGTTCTTCTTAATGCACAAACCAAATACATTAATGTACATCAAATATTTGCAGAAAGGCCCATATTACATACAGAACATGTGACCAAAGGACTTTATTTTAAATGCATGTCACGATAAGTACAGTGTGGACCAAGAAAAACCGTCCAACTTCATAAGCAACTAACATGCAATAGAATAAGTTTCACCTAGACTTGTGCTCAAATAGTATCTCGTGTTACACCCATAATACAGTTTGTCGCGCATGCAAAATACCATTTTGCGTATCCCGAGATAACCAGATAATAATCTCGGCTTGGTTGTGTACCGCAATTAATGAAATACGAGCCTTCGGTTGTACGTTTCACGCACTACTTCTATTCTATAAATATGATAATCGAAGTTGAATTATACCTGGAGTAATATTCATGTTCCTGTCATACGCATGAATCAAAGCTGGTCGAGAAGACGTAGATAGGACTTTTGAAGCGTTTCCTCCAGTGTTACGGTCTGCTCGATATATTCCATCAAGATGTGTGTCAGTCCAAAAGAAATTACTCCCATAGAATGTCAACCCCAATGGAGAAGTAAGAAGCGGTTCCCTATATCTGGAGATTATGGTTCTCCTTGTGTTAGATGGAAACTCGTACACTTCCAATTTTGCATAATAAGTATCGATCCAGTAGAGCCAATTCCTAGAAACATCCAGAGTCAGACCGTTAGGATAAAGCAGCCTATAACGAGTAATCACTCTTCTGTTTGTGCCATCCATATCAGCTCGCTCAATCCCCTTGTACCATCCCCAGTCCGTCCAATACATGTACCTATTGGTGATGAAAAGCAAGGAAAAAAGCAGAAGTAAAATAAAAACAAAAATTGGAAAAAACTTTCGAAACAAAAGAAAAAAAAATGAAAAAAAAAAATATTCCTGCTGAAAGTCATTTTGCATCGATGTCGTTTCTTAATGAAATTAAGATACCACTGGTGATATGGCACGCAAAGAAACGATCACATCTGACATCATTTGCCACAACTGGCCAATCATTTTGCACATAACCAGATATAACTTTCAATGACAAACAACTCTTCTATCCAATTTTGTCTAACGAATTCACGAATTTACTGATTTTTGGCGCACGAAACTAAAAGCTTTACACAAACTGACTGGAATAATCTTTAAAACAATCACATAAAGAATGAGATACGCTTGTATACCCTC